AGGCAGGCTGGGCAGCCTGTCTGTAGGCAGCAAAGCAAGACAGCCATTCTGAGAATGTTTATCAAGACTTGCAAAGTGAGACCCATCACGGAGCTTGGGACATTCACCATACTGTTACAGGGTAAGGTTTGTGGCCTAAAAGGTAGATTAGGGCCTTTGCAATTTGTGTAGAGACTCAGAAGCAAACAGTGGTGAGGCTTGTCTGACGGATGCCAGCACCAGGCCACCATGTCCAGCTCGGACGGCTGTGGGAGACTAGCAGCAGTGACCTCTAATTGACTTGCATGACCGGGGCTCTCTGGCATGCTACAATGGCTTTTTCTAACCTTCTTCTACCCGACACTTGCTTTCTAGGTCACACGATAACTCTCAGGGTCATGGCTTAGGCAGAAAGAACAGCCTTGACTGAGCTCTGGACTGAAGAATGGCTTCTGGTCAGCAGCCAGCAGATATGAGGACTCACTCACCCGGACATGGAGTTCCATGTCAAATGCAACATCAAACTTGCCAGGGCCCTGTTAGTCATGCTGCTTAGCAGAAATGCTTGGATCTTCGGCCACGTACTTAGAGACCCGTGCTCTCCTACGAACAAAGGTCAACACATATAATCCTGTCCTTACGGAATATCTTGTCAAGCTAGGGAGTAGATGGCAGATGATTTAAGCAGTTTAAAGTGTGTGGTACCATGGCCTCTGAGCTACCTGCTGTGGGTGTGGTGGGGACGGGGTGGATGAGAGTCTCATAGATCTTCAGCTATCCTCTGATCGTGATTACAGGACGCAAGGTCATGACGTCCTATCAGTACCTTCCCATCAGTCCTGCATCCCCAGAAAGATGCTAAGATGTTAAAGGAGACACTGTCCCCTGATGCCAAGCCAGTGGGATCTCTTTTGGACAGCGTGGGAAAGCAGAGATGAAGCCCAGCAGTTCTTCAGCACAGCCCTCAGGGGCAGGGTGTGTGGCTCACACCCTTTGCAGTCTATGGGATGGACAGGTCCTCAAGATCACCCCCACCCCAACTTCAGGTGGTTTTGTTTTTGCTTCCCCCCCGCCTTGTTTTAATGGATGAGAAAACTGAGTCACAGAGAGATGAGATGGTTTGCCCAAGATAGATCTCACAGCTCGGGCTTCCAAACCATAGCTGCTGAGATTCCAGGGTAGGTCTTACCTGGTAATTTTATCTAGAGAGCAGGACCCTGCAAACACTTTCTGGAGAGCAGCGACATGTTTCTTGGGAGGTGGGATTTTGATCACTGGGACTTTGATTGATGCCACTGATCTCCTATCCAAAATAATCCAGAATCCCCACCAACTGCAGAGTGGAGCCACTTCTCAGTCCCCCAAGTCCAAGCAGTCCCCATGGTAGCCCAGAGGTCACTCGGCCTAGTTGCAGCTGGAGCACTGGAGCTGGCATCCCACTGGAGCTGGCACCCCACTGGAGCTGGCATCTCACTGGAGCTGGGACCCCACTGGAGCTGGCATCCCACTGGAGCTGGCATCCCACTGGAGCTGGCATCTCACTGGAGCTGGGACCCCACTGGAGCTGGCACCCCACTGGAGCTGGCATCCCACTGGAGCTGGCACCACACTGGAGCAGGCATCCCATTCATTGCCCCTCTGGCCCTTCTGAGAGCTTCAGCCGTCTCCCTACATAGGTACTCGGAAGGCAGAGAGTCAGGCCAGAGTACAGCCCAAAGTTGAAGTTCTTTACAATCAGGCTGGCGTGGGAGTAGCATGCTGGCTTCCTCTCCTCACCAAGGCCTCAGTTAGGGAATGGGGTGTGTTAGAGGCCAGCCTGGATGATGCCCAATCCTGAGAAGGCATCAGTGATAGCTGAGGATGGAGCCTCGGCTTCCCCTGTCTCCCTAAGCATTTGACTAAGACTCTGATATCACCCCACCTCGGGGCACGTTCTTGTTTTCACTATATGAGATGAGCGGTAATGTTAACTTCAGAAGGGAGGCCTCTAACAGTCTCTGCATACGGCAGGCCCACAGGCCAGGGTCCCCATGGAGAGGTCAAAGGCTGTCATGGCCTCTTTCCACACCGAAGAGTAGAGGTCGGAGGATAGATGCAGGGGGTCGGCAAATATTTTCTGGAAAGAGCAAGAAAGTGAATATTCTATGTTCTGCAGACCATATTAAGTCTCTGTGACATAGTCTTTGTTTCAGTTTGTTTTGAAAACATTTCAGAACTGCCAGTGCCATCTTTAGCTCTAGGGTGGAAGAAACACATTGTGACCCATTTCAGGTGTCTGTCACGGCTCCCAGGGGACAGTTGAAGGCCTGGGATGGCCTCCCAGCCTCCTGGCTTGCCCTCTGTGCCATGGAAACCTGAGCACAGGGCTAGGGCTGGCTTTGTTTTTCTCCTAATGCTCAGAGAGAGAGAGAGAGAGAGATGGGTGAGTGAATTATTTAGGTTACAAATGAGACAGCTTTAGCGGAGCCAGACAATAAAAGCCCGCTTTCCTGGAGGCCAGAATATAGGTTCTGCAGGCTGCCGTGGGGCTCAGTGACAGAGCGCTGGACACTGTCACAGTCTTGCTTCAGCCCCCGCCCCCCGCCACACACACACACACACACACACACACACA